GAGTGAGACATCCAGTAGAAGCCTGAAGCTCAACCTGTTCTCTCGCTGAGCGTGCCCGGGACAGGAATGAGTACAGATCTGGTCTAATAACCTCATGCATTATTTAACGCTCTCTCAATACTACTGTGCATTTAGTGTAATGGCCTGTCATGGCTGAATGCAATCACAGAGGAGTGACTTCACTGATCAGTTGATGATATCCAATTATGGATTATATCCAATGGGTGTTTTCCCTCTCGGTTCACAGTGAGTGATGAGTGAATGCTTGTTGGGATTAGTTTGCTGACATGCAGCAGAACAGATTTCATGTTCTATAAAGCACCCTGCCATTTATTCTGGTTAGTGTTGTGTAATATCATATGATGGCAGTTTTTTTAGCCAAAAGACTTATATATTCAAAGAAGCAGAAGATGCTGCCATTTTTCAGTTTGCTCATCGATATACTTTGTATGTTGATAATGTAACCTCTTCAATAGGGCTGCACCGTATGAGAACATATGTTTAATGATAAGTTGCAATAAATTAACTAGGGGTTATCTAAGTCAGTCATGGCTATCTGTTCTTCTCGGTAAATTGCTGAAATAAAACAAATTCCTTGTTGATAAAAAAAAAAAGGACATTATTTCCAACATTCTTTTATTGAAAAACAACATTTACACCAAACACAAAAGGAACCAATTGAAAAGAGTCATAGTAACACATTTCTCTACAAAAACTCTCAACTAGCTAAAATAAATAAATCCCTGAGTGCAATCAGGTGCAATTTAAGTAAAGAGGGATATCTTCAAAGTCAGCAGGAGTCTAGAAAGTAGTGTTCATAACCTGACCAAGCTTTCTGTTTATTTGCTGACTTTAAAGCCACCAAAATAATCATTATCTAACAGATATCCTCGAAGCGTTGGGGGGGGGTTCAGGCTGCAATAACTCGATGTACTGGCTCGTTCAGAACTATTTGCCTGTATACAAACTCCAAGTAGCCTCAGACTCTTGGCCAGCATGTCACTCACATTATGTAGCTGCATGGAGTGAGTGCTTGAAATGTAAAACCTGTGCCCATTCATATTACATCACCTTGGTGACTAATGTTATCGTATAGTAAATAGCTTGGAGGCCTTATCTTGATGTGGCCATGAATAAACCCTATTTGTAAAGTGTCCGTGAAGACATTAAATGTGTAGAATACAATAGCATCGTAGCCTGGTATGAAGGACCTACGTGTGTACCTTGCCTCTGCCTCTGTTCTGTCCTTAGAAGCATGTTGGTTATTGCAACAAAACAAATAGTGTTATGCAGAGGGACAGTAAATGTTCCAATAAGAGTAAATGAAATGTTGTGTTTGTCAGGTTACGGATAAGATACCCACATGTTTTCTCCCTTCTCTACAATGTGAGAAATTACTGCTAAGCTTTGAATCCAGAGCTCACTGTTTCAAGAGTTCAGTGATAAGAATAGACAAAGTTGTCTAAATCTACTTTTCTTTTTCACACATGTGATAAAGATGTCCTATTGTTTGTATTCGTGTCACAAATCACATGGAATCTGAACTTTTTTTCTCCAGATTTGGGCCACATTCAGCTGTTTCTAAATCAGATGCAGGTCTGTTCTTCTTTTGCAACTATCATAACTGATTTGGCCGCTTTAGAAAGATATTGTCAACAGCCAAACAGAAACAAGGGCTCTGATCAATTAGCCTGAGTTGAGCACTAATGGCGCGTTTCCACTGCTCGCTTTAAGCGTGCCGAGCCGTGCAGGGCCCGTTTTTGGTTGCGTTTCCACTTGGCCTAGTACCGGCTAGAGGGTCCTAATTCACAGTTTTTCTGGCCCGATAAAATCGTGGTTCTTGGGCCAGGAGCAACCAGGCTGAGTCGGGCTGAGTATGCTAAACTAGAGAGAGAATTGCTGGCAAGGGGGCTACAACTACAACAAGATGAACATATTTGACCGTGATTTAATTGCAGTGTGCGAAAAAGTACACGTCCCACCGTCTGGGACGTGTTATTTACAATATCGGACAAGTAGATCTGTCAATTGACTTGTCCGGCGGACAAGTGACGTTTATTGACAAATTATTGATACATTCAGTTTACAAAAGGCAGAACTCATTGGCAAATTGTACGTGTCCGCCATTGTTCGTTTAGAAATGTTAATTTCGGTTCTGCTTGTCGATTCCTAAGGAAATGCATCTCGCCGCTTTCTGTACAGTTAGACGGGGGCGGGGCGGGAAGTGTAGCACAGTGGCAGGGTTGGGAAGCAAAACTCGGTTCCGAGTAGGAACAAATAACAATTGTCCGGTACCGCTATTAATAAGAGTTGTGAGGACAGGAGGCGAGGCCGAGCCCCGCGGACTGCAGCTCTCTCATATGCTCCGTATCAGCTGCACGGTGCAGCTCAGCGTCTCTCTCTCTCTTTCTACACACAGCGGATCCGCTGCCCGTTTAACAGCCTCATCTTTGTCAAACTTTCTTATGTTCTTTCTCTAACACGTAATGAAGGTTATTAAGCGTTTTAGCTCATGTGTTGTTAATATTGACCGCCATTTCCTTTATGAAGTAAAGCAGCCTCCCTGTCTGTGTCCTCGCGCTGTCCTCACATCCCCGGACCCCCAGACTCGGAGGAGCACAGGGATGTCAGTATTGTTTATGAAGCAGGGTATAGAAAGTAGCTACATTATTGAAATGAAAATACTATTTGTTTACTTTTATAAACAGTGAGCAGCTGGGCAGCTGCAGCATATGTATTGCAGGACATGTGTAAGCGTGCAAGCGTCTTTGAGTTGTAGAAAAGCGCTAGGCCTATAGGCTATAAATATAATGTATTATTATTATTATTAGGTTATGTCCTATGTGTTGGACATGTGTGGTTGGACTCTGTCTCACAGGCAGGTTACAGTGTAACATCAGAGGAGACGAATCGAAGAACCGGAATCGAGAACCGAAAATAACCGGAATCGAAAAGCAGAACCGGAATCGTTAAAATCCAAACGATATCCAACCCTATGTGTGATGCAGTAAAATCTCACCGCTCACTTACGTTAGCGGTGTCGTAAAAACCGTGGGAAAATGTAAAATACGATGACGAAGAAGAAGATTCCAGTGGCCCCAATTTTTGTCCATTCTGGACAAGTGAAAAATGTATTCGGACAAGTAAATTGCCAAACTCACTTGTCTATGGACAAGTACTCTCTAAAAACTTTTTCTCACACTGAATTGTAATACACGTTTTTAAAATGATGCCGAAGTAACAACATACTGATACCGGTTAGTAAAAACCATGAATTAATGCTTCGACAAGTCTGCAGACAGATGGCAGGCGAAAAACCCTTTTTAAAATGCGTGTTTTCTAAATGGAGCTTGGCTAAGCTAACGTTATGCTCCGACCGTCCACACTCACAGGGTCACAGCAACAGCCTATACAGACATAAATAAACCAGCGACTGTATTCGCCATGACACAGGCAGTCTGTGGTTTGTACTTGTTTAACTTTTGTCTAGTTTCTGAACAGATATGAAGAGCTGTGAGCTCTGAGTGCTAAGAGCTAACGGCTGTGTTGTTTTTCTGGGGCTCTCATTGAAGATGACGTCACGGCTCCGCCTACACTGCGTTACTATAGTAACTACCCCAGTTCCTAAACTGTAATGGAAACGCAGCATTAAAGTGAGCCGGGCCTAATAAGGCCTAACCAAACCGAGCGAGGCCGACCGAGGCCGACCGAGGCCTGCAGTGGAAACGCGCCATAAGGCTCTGTGACGGTAGCCCATCCTAAGTTTCCCAGGTTGATGGGATTACCATTAACCTGATGAGTTTCTCTGTGGTCTATTGTTTATCAGTTCGCTGAAATCCCCCCACCAAAATATGCTGTCAGCTGCTTCTCCTTCCAGTCGTGTGCATGTTTACCGTTGCACTGTACCGTAACAACCGTGTCAGATGTTCCTATGTGAAGCATGTGGTGCTAAGATACAAGACGTCCACGTACAGTAGCTCGGCTTGCCTGCAGCATTAAGGAGTTGAAAAGCTCCTCCGTTTCCTTTCTGATTTTGACCTTTTGTTTTATGTCTTGTTCATAAAATTGGCCATGGAAAGAGTTTGGTTTAAAGGCATACTGTACATAATATGTTCAAAGTTGCACTGAAGTAGAAAAACAACATGACAAAGAAAACCGTTGTTGCATTTAAAAGAGTATGTGAGAACTTCAGCAGGACCATTGGTTTTTAATTGGACATGAGTGATGGATTGATCAGTCAAAAACATTCAAAATTATTGATCCAGGCCCATTCCTCTCTGTGTGCTGATTTGTGAGTTTGTGGATGATCGTATCGGTTTAGTTACCCTCCCCTCTCTTGGCCCTCCATACCCACCCATCATTTGCTTTGCTCTCACTCCGCAGTGGAAGCAAAGAGGAGAATAAGAAAGGAGCTTTGTGAAAAGGGACAGTGATTATTTGTTTATGAGGATGCTAGCCTTGCGGTGACATGCCATTTTTTCCTCTCCTTCTCACGAGGCAGTTAAGTGAAATAGATACTCGGAGCCGTATGTAATCAAATGTAACCCAGATTCAGCATTTTGGAGTGGAACAAGAGTTTTTCCACTTGATTCATACGGCTCCAGTTCCTCACCCCGGGACAAAAACACTGGAGTTGAATTCTACTCCGAAGGGGAAACCTCAGGACTTCAAACGTCCTGAAGGAAGGGACAAAGTTAGTAGAATTTGAAAAGAGACAACATTTTATATGTAATCACAAAAAGCAGATGGGGCTTGAAAAATATAATCTTAATCAGAAAATTATGGTAGGTCATATGAAATATATTATTTTGTTCTCGCATATCTTGTGCAACACTAATCAGATTATAATTTTATGAAAATATTTTTAAATTCACTTCAGATGCCACAAGTTGGCAACCCATCTCATGTTTTTCCCTTATTGAGTTATTGAGCAAGTGAACCGTTTGTATAACCTGGAGCTTATTTGTTTGTCTTTCTCCATTTGCCCTCTCTTTATCTAGTGATGGAAACCACAGTTGTGAGTACGTCCACTCTGGCCCCCGATGAGTTCGATAGGAACGTGCCGCGGATCTGCGGCGTGTGTGGCGACAAAGCCTCCGGATTCCACTTCAACGCCATGACCTGTGAGGGCTGCAAGGGGTTTTTCAGGTACACAAATGCTTATATTGACATATTCAATGTACACACACACGCGCACTAAGTATGCCTCGTGTAGCAGCGCAATTACTTATATCACCCTGATGAAAATATAGTGATGCATGACGACTGGCAAGTTATTTACACATGAAAACATTAGCATACAAACGCCGGTCTTAACATGCATTTATAATCACACACACACACACACACACACACACACACACACACACACACACACACACACACACACACACACACAATATAATTACCACCCACAGTTGCATTAGAAACACACTCAAAAGCACTGACAACATCCACGTTCACAGCAGTTAGAGAATACAAATGAGCTCGCTCCTACGGGTAACGCCTTGATCATTGATACACACATGAGTTTCTAATTTAAGAAATATCTATAGCAAGTAAAGATTGTTTGAGCTTGTGTGTATTTGATGTATCCGCCCGTTTACGTCCGTTCCTCCCGGCGGGTGGTGTTGAGACTTTAAGGGGGAGGATGAAAAAGAAAGGATGTTTAATAATGTCCTTCCTAGTCGCTCAGCTGGCCCTCGTTTGAACTCTCACCACGCATGCATCCGTGTGTTTTTCATCAAATCTGTGAATAAATGATGGTACATGCAGTCCGTTGATGACTGACTCACTACGCTTTGCGTCACACTTTCGAAGCACTCGTCTTTAGATTTCCCAGTACTCATCCATATTTATGCCATTTCACTTAAAATTATTTATCCACTTATTCAATTCAAAGTCAATCCAGTGAGTTGCTATAATGTTCATACACAAAAATAGAGCTTTAACTAGATTCTTGTCAGTGAATCGTACTATTGTGTGTCCATGAACTGATATATGTGTGTGTATTTTAACAGACTGTAAAATGTATACATTCTATTTAGGCGCAGCATGAAGCGCAAGGCGGCCTTCACTTGTCCCTTTAACGGCAGTTGCACCATCACCAAGGACAACCGGCGCCACTGCCAGGCATGCCGGCTCAAACGCTGTGTGGACATTGGCATGATGAAAGAGTGTAAGTATGACACAAGACCCATATGCTTTAGGGCAATATCACATTGTGTGATGCACGACATGTATTCGAATAGGGATAACCCCTTTGTGGGGTTAAATAGTGGTTATGAATATATTCATAGGTATAATATTTTAACAGAGTTATGTGCTCATTAATAGCAGCTATTTGCAGAGAAATTAGACATTAATAACAGTATACTCTTCTTATTTCTTTTTTTGGATGAAACGCAAACATTACACAACTCTGTGTTTGCAGTATTGGGGGCCTACTGTCCCTCTTGTACATATATTATGTAACATTTGGACAGGGGTCAAGTATCTCTGGGTCTTCGCCCCCATTACAGTGTTGACATGTTCTGTTTGTACAATGTGGGGAGGCTCCACTAGTTCAGAGTGACTTTACTCCATCTGAAGTTCAAACACCTGCTGTTATGTACAAACTAGCGAGGCCTCTTCTTTTCTCACAGCCTTGTTTATTTTCATGGTCTGTAAATAGCAGGTACGTTTTTCCCCTTGTTTTCTCCTCGTGTATCCGGATATTGTCCCTGGGCCTCTTTTAAGCAAAGGCCTCTAACTTCCAGCTGAACGTTCTTTCCTCCCCAGTGTTTCTGGGAAGAACTGTTAAATATAGGGACGGTACTACTACTTTGATCGATGCCGCTTATCGATCCGGTCCTTTAACGGTATTCTTATCGGTTCTTTTGGAGAAAAAAATAAGGTAAATGAATTAAACAAATTGTGAACAAAGTTAACATTGCTTTTTATTTAAATTAAATAAATAATATTTCACATCAAAAGAAACAACGTTTTAACAAATCGTATTAAATAATCTGATGACAGAACTGTAAACAGAATAGCTGAAACTTTAACAAAGTAAATAACTCAGTTACTTTTAATCATTAACCCATGTTTGTATCATTGAGTTTACTCCGTGTGTTGCTGCTAGCATACATAACACCTGCCGTGGAAAAGTTACTACTACTACTAGAGCTACTAGAAAGACAGTCGAAAACGGTGCATTTCTCCGTCTGAATGTGGAGCACTTTTGCTAAATGTTTAGACAAATTGCTCGTGTTACCGCCCTTACATGCTAAACATTTATTGCACTTTTGGCAACGAGTATTGTCCACATCGAGACGGGTAAAGTTTAACCACACCTTGTAGCGCGTTAACTCCGCCATCTCATCCGTGTGTGTGTGTGTGTGTTGCATGCAGGTAGCAGCCGTGTGTGTGTAAACTGCCCCGCCCCCTCGAACACAGACAGGGGGGAGAGAAATATCTCGTCTGGATTGGAAAGATCGAAAATACTAAAAATAATCATGGACGCATTTTGTAGTCTTTTTGCTTAACGGTACCACGGTCTTTAATAATTCAGCCCCGGGGCCCGTTTAATACCGGGGCTCGGTACCCATCCCTAGTTATATACTGTACTGTTAAGAGGAGCCAGTGGCATTGCCGTTTTAAAACAGCAGCATGTTGTTGAGACTCGGCTGTCTCTGTAAGCTAATTCAGTGGTTAGAACAACAGGGAGCAAACAGAGACAATGCGTTCACTTGTTCATTGCAGCAGGGGTCTCCATATGGACCCATCCCCTCCCATTCGCTTCTTTCAGAGAATAACAACCCCTGCCCTGACAACCTAACGTCACATTGACATAGCTGTCGTAAAAAATCAAATGAAAATGAAAAGCTTTAAAAGTGGTGTACCGCAACCAATTTATTATGTCCTAAAGTATTTTTCCCCACTAGTCGCCCTGCTTTTACCCCGCTTGAGGTTTAGTTTTACTCTAACACTCTCTGTCTCTCTTTGTCCCTTTTATATTGGCCCCCTCAGTCATTCTGACAGACGAGGAAGTGCAGAGGAAGAAGGACCTGATTCAGCGGAGGAAGGATGAGGAAGCGATGCGCGAAGCGGAGAAGGAGGCGCGGCGGCCCCGGCTGAGCGATGAACAGAGCCATGTCATCGCCACGCTGGTGGAGGCGCACCACAAAACATACGACGACTCCTACACTGACTTCTGCCGCTTCAGGGTTTGTGGATTATTCAGATATACTCATCATGATATTAACATTTTGTAGACACGTTTATTTCAGCTTCTAAGGGTTTATATTGACAGACAGAGATAAACGATTATGCAATTATGCTTGTCATTTCAACAGAGTGGTTGAAAGCATGCTAATGTTGTTGAAAGCATACTCGTGTTGTTGTTTGCTCACATCAGAAATGTTTCTGCTTTGGCTTAACTCCACGGCCTGTCAACAAGGGTCATGTTTTGTATTGTAAACACACACATCTCACACGGTCCAGTTAACCTTTGGAAACTGTTAAATCACCCTCAAACACCTCAGACCTTTCTAACCTGTAATTCTAGTGCATCAGAATTCATCCTTGTGTTTTATTTTTTCAACAGATATTCAACAAAACTCTACTTCATATTATATATAATGGGAATCAAAATCACAAATTGGTGGGCTGTATTTGAAGATTGTGAATGAAGATGCACTTTTTTCTTACAGCATAATTGTGAAATATTCCAAGATTATTATTATTATTATTATTTCATTTTGTTGGTGACTAGACTAATTAATAATCCTCGTATCTCTCCGTCCACTTTTCTGCTGTTTAGCCCCCTGTGCGTGAGGGTCCGGTGACGCGTAGTGCCAGCAGAGCGGCCTCCCTCCACTCTCTGTCTGATGCCTCCTCCGACTCCTTCAGTCACTCTCCAGGTAAGAGTCACACACCGTGGAGGCTTCAGTCTGAATCAAGTGCAAACTGTGACTGTCCAGGGTCACAATCAAACTAGTTCCAGCAAATCTTATATTAAAAATAGCAAAAATAAGCTGTCACTTAACTGAAATAGTAACTGAGGTATTAAACACAAATAATGACTTTAAATACAAGGTGATCTGTCCCACAATTGTCAGGCCAGTTTTGAGAAAATCAGTTAATACTTAATTTAACACGGCAGTGTTTTCCAGTTCAGGTGTTAGCAAATTGGCATATATAATCTGTTGTGCTGCTTTACTGAGAATCCAGAGGAAATTGTGTGAACAATCCCATCCCCGACACCTGACTCCTACTTGTAAACATGAGTTCATTAATGCACCCGTCACTAATGTAGTGCACACAGCGAGGAACACAGTCCCGTGGCCTACCGCCAACACTCAGTGGAGACAAATGACTGAAAACAACCCCAGCAAGCTTTGCATGCTTCACATGTTGTCATAGCTGTCACCTCAGTTTCATCCCACTCCTACTGACCTCGTGTATTTTCAGATGATCCTTTTCCATCACCAGGCCCTCTCGGTTCCATCATTTCTCTTGTTTTTCTCAGCGCTGAGCGTGTCTTTTCATAAAGAAATAGTGTGACTTCATGGTGCGTTGTGAATGACCTCTGTTTTCTCTTCTGACCTCCTCTCTGCTGTCCTCATCTTGCTCGCTGCAGAGTCAGTAGACACCAAAATGAACTTCAACAACCTGTTGATGATGTACCACGAGCAGGGCAGCAGCCCCGACTCCAGCGAGGAGGAGGGCTCCAGTTTCTCCATGCTGCCCCACCTGGCTGACCTGGTCTCCTACAGCATCCAGAAGGTCATCGGCTTTGCCAAGATGATCCCCGGGTTCAGGTACTAGTGTGGATTTAATGATTGCAATAAAAAAACACTTACCCTAAAGTGATGATGGGAAATTCCTTATAGAGATAATAAACACACATTATTGACTTGAAAAAGCTATACAGACTATGGTAAAACAGTGAAAAATCTGACTTTAAATTAAAACAAACATCCTGTATTCAAGCACTTATTTAAGACTTTTTGTTTTTACTTAAAAGAATGTCCAGTTTGTGCTGCAGTTTAGTAAGTAACATTATAATTGTATGCTTGAGTGCCATTTAAAGAGTTTTTAGCATATTTTGAGGATTATCAGGATTATACCTGTGTTTGTGTCTGACAGACTTTTGACTCTTGTCACTCTGCATTAGTCAGATGTTAGACAGACAGAAACCTGCCTTATCTAGAGACAATTTGACTCGGAGACAGACAACACATTTTTTTCTTTCCAGGTTTACAATGAACTGTAAGATGGCCAGTACACATGTCAGTTAGCTGACATTTCATTTTATTTAATCGTTTATTTAGCAGGGACAATGCACAGTAATGAACACTTAAAACATTAAAATGTGTCAAGCGTAACAGTGCCAGATTTAGCTTTGAGATCATTTCCATCCGCAGTCCCTCACATAAAACATTTAAGAAAATTTAATTTTACAAACATAGCAAAAACAAAATACATGATATGCAAAAAGTGCAAAAGAGCAAGAGCAGCATACACAAGTGTTTATGACATGGTAATACAACATAGCAGCAACGACATATAAAGTGCAAGAGAAAATACAAGAGCTACATAAAGTGCAAGAGGAGATACCCCTGTATTAAAGTGCATTTAGCGGTGATTACACGGCCGTTTGTTTCTCAACCATTCTTTGAGTTGACCTTTACAACTATTGATGATGACATGTGGCCAATTCAGTCTGGGCATACCAATATGACATATTGATAGAGAAGAGGGTACATATTTACTGAGCTTTTGCAGAAGACTTCCCGATTGTCTTAGTTGTTTTTTTAGTTTTGTTTATAGAGTAGAGCAGCTCAACTTAAAGGTGGGGTAGGTAAGTTTGAGGAACCGGCTCGAAATACACTTTTTGTTATATTCCATGGAATGCTCTTAACATCCTGATAGCAATGAATATCTTAAGTGCTTTGACAAAAAATCCATAAAAAAATGTCATCACTGGAAGCCGTAGTGCTGTAAAAAGCACGACCAATCATTTTAGCCGGCCCGGCTAAAATAACTGGATGGCCTACCTGCCTGTCAGCCTTCCATCTGTGCACAAACTTATCTCGTGCCCTCATTGGTCATGTGCGCGTTTGTGTGTGTTGGAGGAGGGGCTCTGTAAGGAAGTGGCAGATTTGTTCCGGCTGTGTATTTTCAAATTCTAGCGCACTCGAGCTGGTTCCTCCATGATTACCTACCCCACCTTTAACCCAGTGGTTCTCAAAGTGGGGGGCGCAGAGGCATGCCAGGGGGGGGCGCGAGAGACCAGGAGGAACAATTGTTATAAAAAAAAAAAATCATAAATTTGAAAATTATTGATTCGAAAATAATATGATGCAGTACAGTACTATTACGTCTGGGTCTCTGTGTTTCATTAAAGCTCGGTTCTGTGTGTGTGTGGAACGAGCCATTTTGTGTGCGTGAGCGAGAGAGAGTGCACCGGTACTGGAGATCGTTGTTGTTAGCTTCTGGTGCTAGCGAGCTACGCTAACGGAGTTTTTTCAACAACAAAGTGGAAGAGAGTCCTCTCCTGTCAGACTGAGAGACTCAGTGAGCTAAAGGACTCTGTATTATCTCAGTGGGTCTCAAATGTTTTGATCACCATTAATGTAAACAATTATTTCCGAGGCACACGTTTATATGATCATTATAGTTATAAAAAAATAAGAGAATAAATGAAAAACAGGTATGAAATACTATATGACAGTAAAACAAGAATAAAGTTTAAAAGGTTGATTTGTAAAATATCCATAAAGAAAAAGTAAATCTGTTTACAGTTCTGTTTCATATGGGTGTTGAGAGATGTATCCATAGCTCTCTTCATTTTGCTCTCAAAGTGCACCAGATTGATGCATTTAACTTCAATATTTAAAAATAAATCTTCCCGGGGGAGCTTGCCCCCGGACCCCCCTATGTGAGGTCCGCACACCACCTATAAAAATAGCACTTTTACCCCTGCTTATATGCCGTGAGCTGATTATCGAGCCTTCATTGTAACAGTCGCGGGTACATTGTGTGTTTGCGTGGGGAGTGTTGCAGTAGAAAATTCGGTACATTAAATGGGGAAACCCTAAATGTTTGAGCACCCTCTATGAAACGTCAAGCTACCCCACAGCACCCCTAAAATAAATCTCTGGCGCCGCCACTGAGCGTGACTATTTGTGTTGGGGGGGCCCGACTTTTTTTTTTCTCCAAAGGGGGGGCCTGACAGAAAAAGTTTGAGAACCACTGACTTAACCAGTGAGGACTTCTTGAAAATATTAGTAATAACAAAAACGCCCAGACAAAATATTCAGAACTACTTGTCTAGATTTTTTTTTAATGTTCATGTCTGCGTGACTCTTTACCTAAAATGTGTGTGGAAGACTTTGTACACCTACTTGTTTTTCTGCCTGATTAGTCGATATTGTGCCACAGTGATGGCTGTGGTCTAAAGGCCAGAGATTACTGATGGACTGTATTTTACAGATAACTGACACATTGTGGGAAATGTTTTTATTTTGTGTTGTTCCTTCAAGGTTGTACATTTGCCAAGGACTTGTTGTCCTGCGTACTGTTCGGCCCTTTTTAGTATGTTAGTAGGTGATTCACTGACCTGCTTTTGGAGGGAGACACACAGTTATCTGATCATCACAACAGGTTTTAAGCACGTAGACAGATCTATTTCTGGGAATTCAAATTTCTTATTTTGAATTGCACAAGGCCAATGAAGAGATATAAAGGTTTGAGTTGCAATATAACCTTGAAAACAGTAAAGGATCATATACCAGTGGCAAACACGACCCTTTTATTGTGACTGTAAAGGCAATATAACAACATTGTTTCCCTGCTCCCCGCCCCCTTCCACACATGGAAGCTGCTATCTTTCAGCGTGTTTGTCTCTCGGTGTGTTGACAGGGACAAGCGCTCAGCGTCTCGGGGGTCACCCCAAAGTCGAGGCTAAAACGAGTCGGGGCCTGTATTTCCTGAAAGTTGTCGTTCCCACTGGCAGTGAGTGATGGATGTACTTGGATTACCTCTGGAATGTTTGTCCACTTATGATCTGCTCCCTAAGCACTGAAAACACCCAGACCTCCCCTGAAGACCTGCAGGCTTCAGCTCATGTCTCTTGCTAGTTCACGACTTTAATTAAAAAAAAAAGAAGAAGAAGAAGAAATTTCCTAATATTACTAGACGCCGGATTTGACCGTGACAGTGAGGACTCTTGAAACAGCGTGATTTATGTTTATCAAATGGGTTTTCCATACACGGGGACCCATCACAGCGGGAGGAAGCAGACAGAAAGAAATATTTTGAATGTTTTTGTCTTCCAGCACAGCTCGTATTTGATAAACATTTAAGACAGCGACTGACCTTGATACTCCAGTTGGTTGATAAGTGAAATCCCTTTGACATGAATCACAGCTAATTACATATTACAGAATCTTCACTTGTTTACCCCGATCTCTTAACCATCAAATGAAACGTGCCCAGTACTGCATGATAAAGGTTATTTAAGGACTATGTATTTAATAATTAACTATATATGGTTCACTAACTTGAGTGATGTCGTTCCCCGCAGGGAGCTGACTGCAGAGGACCAGATCGCCCTGCTCAAGTCCAGCGCTATCGAGGTGATCATGCTGCGCTCTAATCAGAGCTTCAACCTGGAAGACATGTCCTGGAGCTGTGGTGGGCCGGACTTTAAATACCAGGTCAGCGATGTCACCAAAGGTCAGTATTAACTACGCCACGTGTACCGTTCGGCTATGCATACGCACGCTCTCAGGCTCATTCGGCTTGGCTGAAGAAAGGACGCACACGTTACACATTAACACTTCTTTTCAGAGCTTGGAGGAAGTGGCCCCGTGTTAAGATAGTGACCAGATCATTAGTGTGGGAGTACTGGAAAGGTTACTGGCAGTTGCCTGAGCACACACCCACAGGAAAGAGGATGCTAATATACGTTCTTTCTGCGAAACCAGTCCTACATATCCGCAGAGGCCCCTGTGGGCAAGGCTTTCATTTGCCTTTCAAACAAGACCCCTCTCTCTGGGATCAAGCAAAGAATGTCACTCCTGACCTGCGCAACACACAAAACAACCACTGTCTGCAGCCGAGAAGCAGCTCTGTGCTGCTCCTCTTAAAATATCACTGAAGGAACTGACGAGGACATGACAGGAATGTTTAATGCACAATATCTAATCAGAAAATATGAAAGTATTACAAAAAAAGATATAAAAGTATTCAATAAAGTGTTTCTCTCCGACACACAATTACAATTCATTATCTTTTTTCCTGGTTCCAGTTTATTGATTTCAGATTTGTTTTATTCATCATAGTTACTGCTTCGTATCATTACAAATATCAAATACAATAGTAAAACATTATTTCCAGAAAGTAAGATTAGTTTTTTTTTAAACAAAACATTTAAAAAACCAAATATTTTGCATTAGTCTATCGTACAAATACTTTGCCCTAATAAGACACAGTACAAAGCATGTCATAGTTATTGAGTTCATTACAGGCACCATTTAGTCAGGGCTCAGAAAGCATTGATGTTGATCACACAGCAGCAGCCATAACAAGAGGAAAGGAGATTTACCAGTTCTTCAGTGTTTTCATGTATTTATATTTAAAACCTCATACATGGCTTGAACACGGATCCACATTCAAATGAGCTGATTGTAAGGATCTCTCAGGCAGGAGTTCTTTATGAAAACAGCAGAAAAGACGTTTCCCGTCTCAGAAAATTAGAAAGCGGGATGGTTTCCCTGGAGGGCTTTTCTTATGTGATCTCGTATTTCATTTCATTTAATCGTTTATTTAGCAGGGACAATGCACACTAATGAACACTTAATACAAAAGATGCGTCAAGTGTAAATATGCCGGATTTTAGCTTTGAGCTAATTTCCATCCGCAGTCCCTCCAGTCTCCTCTGGTGATTCTATACGCTGCACTCAGTAATGATGTGTTACGTGTTTTCGCAGCGGGACACACTCTGGAGCTGCTGGAGCCGCTGGTGAAGTTCCAGGTGGGCCTGAAGAAGCTCAACCTGCAGGAGGAGGAACATGTGATGCTGATGGCCATCTGCCTGCTCTCTCCTGGTAGGTCTGACTGCAGCGGAGCCAACGTATAGAGGGGTCACGATTAAGTGTTTGAGTGATCTCGTTTGCCTCTTTTCCTCCTATAGAGAATATACTTATTACAGGTTTTTTGTTGAACAAGATTAAATATTTGTAATTAGAGATGATTTCAAGCAGGTTCAGATATCTGTCAGTCATCCTGAATCACGTTGACGTGCAGATCTAAGCGTTCTTTGGGACCTGTGTGTGTGTGTGTGTGTGTGTGTGTGTGTGTGTGTGTGTGTGTGTGTGTGTGTGTGTGTGTGTGTGTGTGTGTGTGTGTGTGTGTGTGTGTGTGTGTGGTGTGTGTGTGTGTGTGTGTGTGTGTGTGTGTGTGTGTGTGTGTGTGTGTGTGTGTGTGTGTGTGTGTGTGTGTGTGTGTGTGTGTGTGTGTGTGTGTGTGTGTGTGTGTGTGTGTGTGTGTGTGTGTGTGTGTGTGTGTGTGTGTTGCCCCTTTCACACCAGCGCGAGCCTGAAAAGCGCCGGGTTTTCCTGTTCACACCGCAGCGGCGCCGGCTCTTAGCTCCGGAATCCGGTTCACTTCCAGCTCCAAAAAAGTGTCGGTCTAGAGGCAAGAGCTTCGGAGCTAAGAGGTGGCGTCGCTTACGTCTCTCTTACGTCGAGGCGTGCAGGAAACTAAACCCTCCTCCCCTGAACATGGGTCGACTGTCATGCCTGCCTACAAGCAGTATTGCTTATAAACACAATTTATAAAGTCAGGCAACACTAACCAGGCTTCGTGTGATTCTGTTTATTTGTACCTTACTTTGACCATCCGTTCATTGTTATTGATCATTGTGGAGAGAGGCAGACGTTTTGTTTTGTATTATAGCAGCTATCGGATGGAATCAATACATGGGCTGCAGAGGTTGTCGTGTCCGACTATCACAAGTAGAATCATAATAAAAATACGCCGGTAAAATGTGCCTGTAGAAAACGGTTTATGCCACAATAGGATAGCAATAGCAAGTAGGCCTAGTCAGTTTGGCTTCGGTTGCTATGCTAACATCACCCATTTTATACCAGAGAAACTTTCATAACAGCGTTGTGATACCAAACAGCGTCAATTCAGACTGACACACATTCACTTAGGCTAAGGGGAACTGGGGATATGTATCAGCTGCTTGTGTGAGTCGGACAGTGAATACTTTAGAGCGGCCGCTGCAGTGTGAGCTAACCGGGAGCTAACGGGAGAATAAACTCCCGTGGAAGAGCAGCCAACACTGCAGCGGTCGGTAAATGCTGCAGAAACACATTAATAAACAATGAACCACGGCACTCTGGAGAAAAGCATAAGGTTGGAGAAGTCGTTATTTAATTTAATCTGGCTTAGTGTGATTAAAAGCAACACGATCATCGACCCGACGCAGTTGTTGTTGTTGTGAGCGCCGTAATGCCGTTGGGGAGCAAATCAGGGATGTAAACGGTGACGTCATGACGCAGCAGCGGCAGCACCCAGTCGGGCTCTGGGCGGTGTGAACAGAGCGGGAGCAGAAAAGGGAAACCGGAGCTGAACCAGAAAAGCTCTAGCTCGGAGCTAGAAAGGGAAAAGCGCTGGTGTGAAAGCCGCATGAGTGGATATTTGAATTGAATATGAGCCACCTCATTATTTATTAGATGTGTTCTCTCTGATCTAAAATTAGCTCGCCACCTGACCAGAACCGAAGGAAAACTGAAAGATCAGGCAATTTGATGTTACTTTACGTTTTGACTTCTAGGATTTCTTTAGTGGCACAAATATTATTACATTCTAAACACAATCTATCAGAATACTTTAGTTATCCCAGGGGAAATGTGGTTTTGTGACCGTTGCTTCACTTTGAAGCGAAGGACAATTAAATATTTATATAAACATACAAATTTATAGGAAGATAATATAGAATTAAGATATTTCACAAAAGAAGTGAACATTTCCAATTTGAAGATAAAATAGAATACAAATATGTATTTAAATTGAAGAAGTTAAAATGGTCACATTGTACTACAATGACAAACACTTAAAGCATTAGTTTTCAAATTAAGTTTTTAATTGTAACAGCTATTTTAGGTGGCTTTTAGCTTGCGTAACAGCCATAAATATCTAAAGACACCCCCCCCCTCCCCTCCTCTCCTGCAGACCGCCCAGGTGTGCAGGATCACGCTCGGATCGAGGCCCTCCAAGACCACCTGTCCGAGACCCTGCAGGCCTACATCCAGCTGCACCACCCAGGAGAACGGCTGCTCTACGCCAGGATGATCCAGAAGCTGGCGGACCTGCGCAGCCTCAACGAGGAGCACTCCAAGCAGTACCGCTCTCTCTCCTTCCAGCCGGAGCACAGCATGCAGCTCACCCCGCTGGTGCTGGAGGTGTTCGGCAGCGAGGTCTCCTAGACCCTCTGAGCCCCCTACGGTGGAGAGGAGACAGGAGACCCTCTTAGGGTAGAAATGGAGAGAGAGAGCGTGCTGGAGCGACTTAATGGAGGTGTGGAGTGTGAAGCTAGTGGAAGAGAGAAAGAGATGTGTGTGTGTTTGGGATGTGTGGTTTCATGTGCGTCTTGTCTAAAGAAGCCTATCTTGGCATGAAGAGCAAGGTTGTATGGAGAGCAAGCAGATGTTAGGGGATGTAGTAAACAAAGGAGACTTCATATAATACACATTTAACTATTCATACAACTTCTGCCTATATGCAGTGTCTTTGTCTGTATTTAAATCAACAAACCGCTGCTTCAAATGCCTGGACTTTGTGTGTGTGTGTACATGGCATGCACACATCAACACAACAAACATACTCAGTTATTCATTTTAGCCATTCAGTTGAGCTACCTCTTTGTTTTACTTGGGTTGTTTTACGCCACCTAAGTGAAACAGTTACTTTGACACAAAGCTAGATACAGGATGCATGACATTTCAGTGCAAACGGTTTTTAATGGTTCAGAACTTTTATTTTTGGTTTTTCATCTACTTCTCTGTAAGGCAGCGGATATATATATATATATGACTGTATACAATTCAAACGCATGCCTTTTGCCTTTCGCCAAAGGTGTAGTCCACTTTCTGAAAAAGCTTCCAGTACCTAAAAATAACCGTTGCTGCTTCATGGCTCGTTTCACGCATGCAGCCACTCGACATGCTAGCCTCACAGCCTATGAAGGAAACTGTCATTCTTTAGGTTTATACTGCAGAGTACAGAACATAGTCTGTCATTTAGTGAGGTTTTGATGGGACATTGGGGTGCCTGGTCTTGAGGTGAGAATTAGCCACTAAATGTTTTAGATATTTTACACTGCTAACTGTCAATCAAACCCAGCCGGCATTATGGCTTCAGACTCTCTTTTTTGAAATTGTTTTTTCTTTCTTCCTCTTTCTGTTTAATTGTTTGTTTCCCTGTAAATAGTTAATTACTACCACACGTATCCTAAGCACTGTTATTCCACCTTTTACGCAAGCCTATGTATTGATTATCTATATTATCACAGATTTTAAAGGGCTAAGATGCCAAATCTAACTGGAATAGTAAATTGAGGCCAAAGCAAGGGGCCTGTCTTGTTAATATATAGCTGCATACCATACTTGGAATTGGCATATATATATACTGATGTAATTGCAATGGATGTTTTTGTTTGTTTTTTTAATGCCATAATCACCTTTAAAAACAATTCCATGAATTGTTCCTTCTAAGTAAACAGTGAGCTCTGTGGGCGGAGAGCTAGGGAAGCTGCTTCAGACCCAGATATCACACCCCTTTCGTTTCTGACAGGGAAATGGATTTTGTAGAATGTCGGAGGGCCTGGCAGCGCAGCTCCACACCCAGGCCCTCCTGTAAGATGATGTATGCTGCGCAGCCCTCTAGTGGCTGCATTCTGTAAATATCAGCTATATCATATGTCTGCCGCTGTACATAGGGCTACATAGATATTTCTCAAGGACAACTTTTTCAGAAATATATATGCAAATACAATATTGACCCATTTTTATTTGATTCACGATCCCTACGTTTCTGAGACACTATGTTCTTTTGATCTTTTGGTAAAAATGAATTAGAAATGGCTTAAACAGGGATTGCTTGTGTATTTGACTCAGTCAAATTATATCTTTTTTAGTGGTGGGTTGATGTGTTTGCCTAATTTCCAAGGTTTCTTTTCAGAAAGAGGACAAGCGTAACATAACGTGCTGCTCTCTAATATAAGCCATATAGATCAATAATACACCTGATCTATTACAGTGAATTGAAATGATGTTTCCAGAGCCTTGGATATCCTCATTATATAATCTTCTTACTCATATGCTATTTATCCGGGGCTCTTGGCAGATAAGCTTGTAAATGAAAGGAACTCGTATGCCTTCTCTCTGCTGTCAAAGTGCTGTCAGTCATCTTTGGCTTATACTTCATCAAACAGCATCTAATGGCTTATAAACCAAACTGCCAGGAGCATTTTAGCGCTTAGGTTTAGGCGCCAGTAATGTACGGCTTGCTGCATGGTGAAATTCTATCAAATACAATGTAATTTTTATTTCAACACAATTCCCCAAAGAAGTTGAATTCTTGCCGTGTTCAGATGATTTCCCGAAGGCATCTTGGCTTAAAAGAAGCCATTTGCACAGAGTTTGCGAGTCTCAAACGTGATTATTTTGTCTTCTTTTTGCTGTGTGACAGAAGACACGTAAACGGTTGCTGTGATTGGCCGGGAGCAGACCAGGGTTAGCGCATGTGTTTGCCGTTGAGCTGGACGTATTCCCACAACTCCGCTTTGGGAGAAGTTGTTGCTTTCAATTAGTTCAGCCTACATGAGTTTTTAAACCTATAGGATTTAATGTCCGTTCTCTGCCACTGTGACTTTTTATTCCAACTCTTCATCAAGTCACTGTGACACTCTGCAAGCTGACCGTCAGCGCTGGACGCGGAGATATTCATTAGTTAAATACAATTCAGTTAATCATAATGAGTTTGGAATATGTGGTGTGTGTGTATTTGTATATGGATATAGATACACACACACAAAGCAAAAGTGTCCCTACAGTGATTGGACGTTGAGAAGTAGAGACTGGAGTGTCTTTAGGCAGTACCACTCGTATGTATAGAATGTCAGTTTGATGAGGGGCATGATGTGCTTGGTTACTGAACTCTGACTTTTGAAGTTTTTGAAAAGTCTCCTTGTAGATTTTCTCTGAATACATACTTCCTGTATGTAGAAATGGATTTGATTATATTGTTTTGTTGAGATAGAGATGCGGTGTTGATTTGTTAACACAGCGGGAGGTTTGGTGAACATTGTAAGTGCCACAGGGAGAGTTCCCTCCATAAAAAAGAACAGGGTAAAAGAGTTGCTGCTCTTTTGGCTTTGAAAACCAAACAGGAAGAGTCTTGTGGATGCATCTAATTGAGGCAAATGTCAGTCAGTAACGCCTCTTTTCTCCCATTTGTACTCAGTAAATATGTGAATACATGTTGTTTATGGGACAAAGTTCCCAAGCTAATCCTCAAACACTACATAGCATGCAAATACAGTTCAAGCTAAACATGGTGCATCCCCAGATTGTCCCTGTTTGGCTTTACCATGGTAGGCAGCATTGAGGTCGTTGAAAATAGATATCTACCACACACTAGATGAGGCCGTCTTTCCTCAAGATTGGCAACAAAATACAGTAACAACAGCTGCAATATACAACTCATGGTACACTATCACCAGCAAGCTTTACAGTTTATCATGTACGTAGACATTTTTGAAGTTTTTTGTATAACTGTTGCCATTACAAATCCTGTCTGTATCAGTCCGGTTCAGATCTCCCACACGAAGGCTCTCAAGTCTTTTTTATTTCCGTTTTTTTTCTCTCCAATTAGGACAGGGATTGTAATGGAATCAACTTAATTTAGTTCTTACAAAAAGGAGTGTCCACAATGGATGTACACCATAATCTACCTAAAAAACCTACCTCTTTTAGCTCAGAATTTTTGCTTTAGCATTAAGCATTTGCCTCTGTTTTTACTTTTGTAATATTTGTATTCATGTTGGTATTTATTGCTGTCTAATGAGTCATACTTCAATGATTACCTCAGAGATATCTCACAGATTTTGGGAGAGTCCAGCTAATGAAGTCATTCATAGTTTGTTTGTTTTTCTTAGATTTTTTTTGTACAGTTTTTTTTCTTCTCGGACATAGCATTGCCTTCTTTCTTTTTTTAACGCACACAATACCAGGAGTGTTTTTAATATAGTGCCTGCACTCTGACTAACGGAGCTCAGACTGGCTGGTGAGGCTGCATCCACTCCAGTAGAAGACACCCTCCTCTGCCTCTGTGTCCTTAAAGGTCACCTATTGTGCAAAATCCACTTTTTCATGTATTTTATACATCAACATGTGTCTCCTCTGTGGAAAGAGATTCTGAACGTTTCAGGAAAAAGGATTCGCTCACTTTTTGTCCTGATCCATTTATATAACAACCTGGCTGAAAATGAGCTGATCAGATTTTGGCCACTTTATGATGTCATAACGACTTTTTGGCTTGTGTAACCATTAGCCAATCACCAACCAAGGCAACCCCCCCCCCCCCCCCCCCCCCCCCACCTTATCACCCGAATCTCCTCCTAGAGCACCATTGTGCTCTCTTAAACCAAATATCTCTCAGAGGGGCGTGGCTCCTTGTTTTCATCTAAAGTAACAGACACAGAATCAGCACTTTTGAAACAGGGCTGAAACAGAGGGGTTTATGGGATGCTGCAATGCATGATCTGTTTGGTATTTGGAGCCAAACACTTCAGAGACATGTTTTGTATATATCTGAGACCTATAATATATTGATGAAAAACAGTATAATAGGGGACCTTTAAGATATCTATCAACATCAGATGCAATAAATCTGGTTGCCATGTTGTTGATATGTACCTCCATGGTTACGGTTCCTAAGGACACAGTGCAGAGGAGCACTTTGTGGAGTGAATGCAGCTGCGAAGAAGGAACAAGCTGAGAGACTTTGTGGCAGTAGGAGAAGAGGGAGGTGTGTTTGCGCTCCACTTGGTACTGTTAGCACGGCCTTTGCTCTGTAGTACGCCATCCTTCCCTTGTCCCTCTAACCCCCCCCGTCATTTCCCCCTATACCCTCTCCTCCTGTCCTAAAGTCTGCTCCCTTCATCATTCCCTGCCGATGTTTGGTCTAACAAGCGGAATCTAGGAGAAATACAAATCCTCAGTATCCATGCAATGCTGCTTTTATCTGGAGCGTCACCAAGTTGCGTGTTGACGCAACTTGATGCAGGCATCGTCCAAAAGTCAGCCCTCAGCGGCGCGACAAGCCTCATCGAAATAGTGTGTCATTGAAACGCAACTTAGTGGTGCTTATTGGGGGAAATACTTTCAGATCGTAGTATCATATTAACGGAGCAACTACTCACTTTGGTGCATTTTTAAACCAAGTTATTTCGTATTCATGTCAAACTGCTTCAGGTAAACACTGAATGAAATAAGTGCATTTTTATTGATCAGTGAATACTGAGGAACAATGTCGCCATGGTCACACCTGCCCCCCCAAGCTGTGTGCCATATTAAAACCCTGTAAATGCAGGGAAGGTGTTAATGAAGCGGGCTTCAGATGTTCCCCAGTGTAATTTGAATGAGAAAGTTGCCAAAGTGTGAGATTGGCTTCTTAAATAGTACTTAGTCAGCCATGTGTAGTGATCTTCTCTAATGAGTCACATTTGAAATTGGCATTGTATTTTCACCCTATATTATGAACCCAAATATTGCCACATTGAATTAAAATGCCTGATCCAACAAAAGCACTTAATGTATGGCTTGTAACACATGCATACTTATGAATCTATTAGCCATTAACTGCCTGTGTAGGTCAGCATGGTATGGCTCCAATTATCGAATAAAAGTTGTCACCTAAATTCTAATGTAATTGCAATTTATCTTTTGCCTCTTTTTTTCAAAGATCTTCTTTTTCTATTATAAATTGGTGTTTATGTAATGTTATTTTTGTCAGATGTTTTGCAAATCAAAAATAAACAGTTGTACATAGCAGTGGGCTTCTGTGTGATTTGTTTTGAATGTATACAGTACATCTTTCATATGTGTCTCTAGATAACCATTAAATACAGCTTGTGGATATTGCTCATCAGCTGCTGCTTACTGTCTCTGAACAGCTCTTTAAGGTACAGTATATTGATGGAAAAAACAAGTGTGCTCAAATATTCAAGTACAGCCCCAAAACGGTAACAAAGGAGTTGTTGTGTGCCACTGAAACACTTTCTGAACACGTTTGACATGTATTGTGAGGAAATGGGAGAAATTGTGTGAATACCTACACCTGAACATGTGCACTATGTTTGCAAAGAAATCCAATTTATGACAAAAGTAGAACTTTATTCATCTCAAAGGTAGCATAATATATTCAAGATGTCTTTTTTTCTGGAAAATATGGCCATTATTTTTCTGTTGTTGAAACTGAATTGTCATTGAGTACAACAAGGTTATAGATATGACATTCTATGGATGAATGATCTTATTTTTGAATTGTATTTTTGCCTTTATTGGATTAACAAAATGTAGCTCAAACACTCAATGAGGAGAGATACACGTAGGTGGGCAATAACACACAACACAGTCCCCAGCC